GGTGTGGTGGACAAACCAAATTCGCCTTTCAAACAGACCATTGTTTGACAAATAGCTGTGCACTGAAGATGCACAGGAGACTGGTTCATGACGTCATTTTAGTATATACTTAATCTATAAATATATGTATGAATTTCATCGAAATGAAAGTATTAGAATAGTGCAAATATAATTCAGTTTGCATTGAATGTTCACATTGTGTTATCCACTAACAAGAATGCTAAAATGGTCTTATCCATTGACTATAATGCCAACATTGACATATCCATCTACTAGAATGTTTACTCTGTCTTAAGCATTAACTAGAACGTTAGCATTGTCTAGCCTTATCCGTTTAAAAATCATGTCAACATTTTTTTCACCACTAACTATAATGTTAACATTGTTAATATTTTACTAGCTAGAATCTTGACATTTATCCACAGCCCTTGTCAAACTGCTGAAGTCCTTTTGATAAAATGTTGCCGAGCTTCGAATTTTTTTTGGGGGGTTGTAATGTTTAGTGAATGTTACTATGGACAGCAAGCTGCAGTATTCGGTGTTACTCCTCTGCACTACCTTTCTTTTGTTTTTAACTTGCCTAGCAGCATTCAGCGTTACTCCTCTGCACTACCGTTCTTTTATTTTAACTAGCAGCTTCCAGCTGTTCAGATTATTTCAGTAATCCCCATCAAAAACGTAATACTCTTGTCAAAATCTGATGAAGATAATTTGCCTTTTTGTTTTGAATGTAAATGTTTGTTCAGGTTTGCCAAATTCATATCTTAACACAAAATATTCAAGCAAATATGTGTGTGTATTTACAAATCTAGAATAAAATAGAAAAAGACATATTCAGAGCTATCAGACATTTTAAAGTGAGTAAATTTTAGTAGTAAATAAAATATCTGGAGGTCTTTTCCATAATATTTTATCTTAGCTAGATCCGCCACTGGTCTCTTTTGGTAGACGCCATTGTGGCCTTTTAGCCATCTTTATCAGTGGCTATTTAAAAACAATACTAAGCTGATAAGAATAGATATTTATGGTTAAATACATTGTGATTTATAAATATTGAGTGGGTATTTAAAACTAACATATAGTTAGGATGAAACCTGCATAATAATATGTTAATTAGGTGTGACATAATATTATATATCGAATGTGTACATACAAATATGACTTAATTGTGTATATGAAAATAAAAGTGGTTTATAAAGATTGAATGTGTAAAATAAGATAAGATGTGATTTATGAGGATATTTATTTAATGTTATCACATATTGCAGTGTGAGCGAGAGGCCATATATCAATTGAATGTTATCACATATTGCAGTTGGAGTGAAAGGCCATATATTATTTGAATACTATTACATATTGCACTGTGAGTGAACGGCCATACATTATTTGAATGCTTCCACATATTGCACTGTGAGTGAAAGGCCATATATTATTTGAATGCTTCCACATATTGCACTGTGAGTGAAAGGCCATATATTATTTGAATGCTATTACATATTGCACTGTGAGTGAACGGCCATATATTATTTGAAAGCTATTACCTATTGCACTGTGAGTGAAAGGCCATATATTATTTGAATGCTTCCACATTTTGCACTGTGAGTGAACGGCCATATATTATTTGAATGCTTCCACATATTGCACTGTGAGTGAACGGCCATATATTATTTGAATGCTTCCACATATTGCACTGTGAGTGAACGGCCATATATTATTTGAAAGCTATTACCTATTGCACTGTGAGTGAACGGCCATATATTATTTGAAGGCTACCACTTATTGCACTGAAAGTGAAAGGCCATATATTTATTGAATTTAATCACGTGATGCATTGTGATATATGTACTGCACTTATGTCCAAATGTGCAGCACTCCTGTCATAGTGAAAGAACGCAATGCCATGGATGTACTTCTCAACAATGATAATTTCTTCACTACAAACTACCGGTTTTACTAGAACAGCTGTTTGGTGGTTTTTGTTTTAAATTTTTTTTTTAAATATATTTTTTTGTCTTTACCAATAAATAGAATCAGAGAGAGTGAGAGAGAGAGAGAGAGAGAGAGAGAGAGAGAGCGAGAAGGAGAGAGAGAGGGGGGTCAGGGAGGGAGGGGAGAACAATTTTTTTTAAAATTGAATTACAGAGAAAACAAGGGACATATGGTCTCTCATAACACTCTTATTGATTTAAGGGGCGATGATGTCAACATAACGAAACATTTCAGAGATACATGTCAAATCAGGGGCGAACATAGGGACAACGAAGGGGGCGACCGTTCCAAGTGGCATCCAAGGGCGGAGGCGAATTTGTAGTTTTGTTATAAGAAATATACATTGAATTTACTTTCGGATTTTTAAAAAAAAATTATTGACAATACTATCTGAAATGTTGAACTCATCTTTTGTTTGAACGCATCTTTTGATTGAAGCTGTCTTTTGTTTTAACTCATCTTTTGTTTTAACTCATCTTTTGTTTTAACTCATCTTTTGTTTGAACTCATCTTTTGTTTGAACTCATCTTTTGATTGAACTCATCTTTTTTTTTAACTCATATTTTAATTGAAGTCATCTTTTGATTGAACTCATCTTTTGTTTTAACTAATCTTTTGAACTCATCTTTTGATTGAAGTCATCTTTTGTTTGAAGTCATCTTTTGTTTGAAGTCATCTTTGGTTTGAAGTAAACTTTGTTTGAAATTATCTTTTGTTTGAAATTATCTTTTGTTTGAACACAACTTGTGATTGAGCCCATCTGCAAATCACCATAATAACCAAAACTTTAGATTTAAAAAAAAAAAATCTTTAACTGCAAAATGATTTTTGTCTCAAATCGACGCAATCAGAAATATTTAAAGGGAGTTTTCTGATAAGAACATCACACTATCGCAGAATTGATCTTAAAAAAAACTACAAATTCGCCTCCGAATTAGGATAAAGATCTGAAAACACAAATGGAATGCTTCATTTTATGAAGTCACTAACATCCAGCAAACCCCTTTTCCGCGAATCGCTATTTTCGAGACGGTAAGTTTCTACACCCCCCCCCCACCTGGCACAGGCCAATTGTTAAATACAAGACCACGGAGTCACCATCCCTTTTCCGCGAATCGCTATTTTCGAGGCGGTAAGTTTCTACACCCCCCCCCCCCCAACTGGAACAGGTCAATTGTTAAATACAAGAGCAAGGTGTCACCAGAGCAAGGTGTCACCAGAGCAAGGTGTCACCAGACCAAGGTTTTACCAGAGAAAAATGTCACCAGAGCAAAATGTCACCAGAGCAAGATGTCACCAGAGCAAGATGTCACCAGAGCAAGATGTCACCAGAGCAAGGTGCCACCAGAGCAAGGTGCCACCAGAGCTATGGCGTTTTCCATTAGTGTACCTAGAGTTGGTGATGCCCAGAGCAAGGTGTCACCAGAGCAAGGTGTCACCAGAGCAAGGTGTCACCAGACCAAGGTTTTACCAGAGAAAAATGTCACCAGAGCAAGCTGTCACCAGAGCAAGATGTCACCAGAGCAAGATGTCACAAGAGCAAGGTGTCACCAGAGCAAGGTGCCACCAGAGCTATGGAGTTTTCCACTAGTGTACCTAGAGTTGGTGATGCCCAGAGCGTTTCTTCCAGAAGACGCTAACAATTGAATCGTGTGTAGTTGCTTCACCTGGGTTGTCACAAAGGGGTGGCATTAAAATGTGAAAAGTAAAAATTGTACGGCTTAACTAGTTAAATACAAGAGTTTGGTGCGACCATAACATGCTGCCATCAGCTGAGGGTGCCATCACAACAGGTTGCCATCCGATCAGGGCGCCATCAGAAATTTCTGACTCAGAGGCATTCAATAAGGAATTCTGGAAGGGTTAAATAATGAGTTTACCGCACTGAGAAGCACCATGAGTTTACCGCACTGGGTGACAACATGATTTTACCGCAGTGGGTGCCACCATGAGTTTACCGCCGTGGGTGACATCATGAATTTAAGGCACTGAGTGACATCATGAGTTTACCGCCGTGGGTGACATCATGAATTTAAGGCACTGAGTGACACCATGAGTTTACCGTACAAGATGAGACCATGAGTTCCAAAAAGAAAAAAAAAAGTCAAGGCCATAGGACTGACGGAAGTCTTCCCCCCCCACCCCCTCACAGCAACCACAAAAACTGCACCCCTGCTATTATGAATTATGATAACTTGCGACGACGGCGTATTTTCGGGAGTTCGCCCCCGTCGTTAATTTTACAAAATATTCAACTGGTCATGTCAAATTAACCTCAGATATTTATATGGATCATTTCAATTTAACCTCAGATATTTCTATGGGTCATGTCAATTTAACCTCAGAAATTTCTGTGGGTCATGTCAATTTAACCACAGATATTTATTTGGGTCATGTCAATTTAACCACAGATATTTCTATGGGTCATGTCAATTTAACCACAGATATTTCTATGGGTCATGTCAATTTAAACACAGATATTTCTATGGGTCATGTCAATTTAACCACAGATATTTCTATGGGTCATGTCAATTTAAACACAGATATTTCTATGGGTCATGTCAATTTAACCACAGATATTTCTATGGGTCATGTCAATTTAAACACAGATATTTCTATGGGTCATGTCAATTTAACCACAGATATTTCTATGGGTCATGTCAATTTAAACACAGATATTTCTATGAGTCATGTCAATTTAACCACAGATATTTCTATGGGTCATGTCAATTTAACCACAGATATTTCTATGGGTCATGTCAATTTAACCACAGATATTTCTATTGGTTATGCTAATTTAACGAAAAATATTTCAATGGGCCATGTCAATTTAATAAACTAATAGAAAATAGATAAAATACGATTTCTGAGTTTCCAAAAGAGAATCACTGACAAAGTGCTGCAATCAACAGTAATCAAACATTGAAAGCTGTAATTCAACTCACAGACTCTGTATGACAAGGAAAACTTCAGATATTATGCAACAAACAAAATGAACGAATTGAAGCAATCTCTCTTTTACTATCAAAGTATTTATTGTCTACCCGTGTAGGAGTATAGCAAACATAAAATTGAGTATAAAAAATATTTTGTTATGGAGACAACTGCGCTGGACATTCTTAGCAAATATTCATGACACTACCGACTGTCCTTCAATGACACTACCAACTGCCCTCCAATGATTCTACCAGGTGGAACTTTAGCAGACCCGATTTCAATCTTTTTGCATGTTCTCAAAATCACATGACTTTAGCTAGTCGTAGAAGCAGACGACATTGACCCTTCCCGTCGTCATACGTTTTGAACTTAGTTGCTCACCTTCACCAGATGTATGCCGACTCAACGATGACGCAGTTATAGCCACTAAAGAACGACTCCATCTCTCCTCTAACATGTTTCAAATATATTCTATGGATGCTTCTTTCAAAAAATTGTTCGACCTATTATTTTACTTTGTATTGTTGTATCTCTATACTACTATCGTTTTTGTTGTATTTATAGAATACTTTATTGTTTTATCCATAGAATACTACTGTTATTATTGTATCTATTTCAGACGATCCTTATTGATGTATCTATATTACTCTCCTTACTGTTGTATCTATAGAATATTATGGTTATTTCTAAAGAATACTATCTTTTTTGTTGTAGCTAAAGAATATTATGGCACTTTCAATTGTATTGCTATTCCTGATAAATTTCTAATCAAAGTTCTAGAAATAGTTCTGAGACAAGTTACTGACGCACGATGGAACCTTATCTCACACAGTTGATTGTACACAAGTCTCCCACAGTCATATCCTCACAATTAGGAGACCTATGCTACTTCTTTCATAAGACACCACTGAATGACAATGTCTTGAGGTTATGTTGCCAGGATTTCATTTCAACGACATACAGGCTCAAAACGCTCCGTCCCAGTCTATGTCAAAATCTTCTTCTTGTTTGCGGTCACTGGTATCAGAACCGGAAGTTGCCCCCTTGACATTCTGAATGTCCTTGACAGCAAACTCCTTCCGTTTATGGAGCTGGTTTTGTCGGTTGATGTTGGCAAGGAGCAGACGCTCTTCGTAATTCAGGCTGCACCTGCCAGAAGAAACAAACATGTCATGTGTTAGGATGTCAAGGTGCCAGGGAGACAAACATGTTTACCTTGAGACTTACGGAAAGCGCACTTTCGCATTTGCTGGTCCAACAATTTGGAACGCCCTTCCTGTCGATCTTAGAAACAACCAGACACTGGAGTCCTTTAAAACCGATCTAAAGACACATCTATTTCGCGAATACCTTCTGGGATGATTGTCTACCTTATTTTCCAATTAATGCATAATGGCTGTGTTGCTCCGGATTGAAATGGCTAGAAAGACTTTGAGATTGTGCTTGTAATTAGTTTTTGTAGTGTTGCGTTTGTTTTAAATGTGGTAAATTATAGATTTGTTTTTTGTTGACTTTGTACTGCGCTTCGAGCCTTTGGGGATGAAGCGTGTTTTTGAAATGAACTTTATTATTATTATTATTATTATATATTAGGATGTCAAAGTGCCAGGGAGACAAACATGTCATATGTTAGGATGTCAAAGTGCCAGGGAGATAAACATGTCATATGTTAGGATGTCAAAGTGCCAGGGAGACAAACATGTCATATGTTAGGATGTCAAGGTGCCAGGGAGACAAACATGTCATATGTTAGGATGTAAAGGTGCCAGGGAGACAAACATGTCATATGTTAGGATGTCAAGGTGCCAGGGGACAAGCATGTCATGCGTTAGGATGTCAAAGTGCCAGGGAGACAAACATGTCATATGTTAGGATGTCAAGGTGCTAAGGAGACAAACATGTCATATGTTAGGATGTCAAAGTGCCAGGGAGACAAACATGTCATATGTTAGGATGTCAAGGTGCCAAGGAGACAAACATGTCATATGTTATGATGTCAAAGTACCAGGGAGACAAACATGTCATTTGTTAGGATGTCAAAGTGCCAAGGAGACAAACATGTCATTAAATTCGTGGGTTGACATGAAATAGTAGTTGAGGATGGAAATGAAATTATAGTCCAGGATGGAAATGAAATTATAGTCCATGATGGACATGAAATGATAGTCCAGGATGGACATGAAATTATAGTCAAGGATGGACATGAAATTATAGTCAAGGATGGACATGAAATTATAGTCCAGGATGGACATGAAATTATAGTCCAGGATGGACATGAAATTATAGTCTGGGATGGACATGAAATTATAGTCCAGGATGGACATGAAATTATAGTCCAGGATGGACATGAAATTATAGTCCAGGATGGACATGAAATTATAGTCTGGGATGGACATGAAATTATAATTCGGGATGGACATGAAATTATAGTCCAGGATGGACATGAAATTATAGTCAAGGATGGACATGAAATTATAGTCCAGGATGGACATGAAATTATATTCCAGGATGGACATGAAATTATAATCCAGGATGGACATGAAATTATAATCCAGGATGGACATGAAATTATAGTCCAGGATGGATATGAAATTATAGTCCAGGATGGACATGAAATAATGTTTTATTTCACACAGGAAAATAGAGAAAAGTCCTTTGATCTAACATAAGGTACACATATTAGTGACGTACAAAAAACAATTGACTATGCTAAGTTGTATGGACAACAATTAACAGTATTAACTATTAACTTCACTAAAGAAATGAATGGACTATTGTCAAGTGTCAATGGTTTCAATGAAAAAAACATTGGTGTCTTGTGTGCGTCCCTTGATATAACATTGCATTGTTGATTGTTAAATTACCAGAGTCACAACCATGCGTCTCGGATCTCACCATACCGACTTTTAATGGTGTTTTAATTTCATAGGCATGAACATGTGGATGTGGAAGATTGGTTCCTGACAACTGGATGCAGTGGCTTTCCAGACGAAACTAATTGATGTTGGAGGTTTTAGCATTAGAAAGTGTGGGTCAAGAGAAGAGAATTTTATTAGGAAAGACGGTAACAAACGGAGAAGTGTCAATATTTTGAGTATTTTAGAATATATCTCTGAATTCCGCCTACAGTATCAAATGTTACATCCTATTCTAGGTAGAAGATGTTTAAGAATCTCCTTATTGCATTCTCATCCCTTTATCTGATGTACGTTGTTGTTTTAAAGGCCAACCGTCTTAGCCCATAGCAAAGAGATGGCACACTTGAAATGATCAAAGACATTTCAAATAAAAGACTGACACAAATCTTCACAAAAACTTAGCTAAGTCCCATTTGTGGTTACTTACTTACTTGACCCCAAAATCCATCACATTAAGAATAACCGACCGGTGAATGGGTAAAATATCTAAAACTTTCATTTTTTTTTTTTAACAACTGAGGCATCGCTTGATTAAATTAAACGGCTTATAATGACACCCGAACAACACCCACTCACTCTAACAACACCCACTCCTTTAAAAACACCCACTAACTCTAACAACACCCAGTCACTCTAGCAGCCCCAGATAACCAAAACTACACACAGTCACTATAACAACCCCAGACACCAAAACTACACCCTGTCACTCTAACAACGCCAGACACCAAAACTACACCCTGTCACTCTAACACCCCCAGACACCAAAACTACACCCTGTCACTCCGACAACCCCCAGTTGTTCCAATCAGATCTCTTAGCTCTGGGTATAAAATTAAAAGAAGAATTAAGTTGCATTGTTATTTTTGTTTAAAGGTTTAAAAATACGAATACGATACTTGAACATTTAACTTTATAATAAATAATCTATCATCAAAGGTCCTGCAAGCATTTACTCTGAGAATGTTTATAGGGTACGACAAAAGGGCGCTCAGGAAAAAAAGTTTGAGAATTACTGTTCTAAGACAATACACCAGCCAAAGCGTACGTCACGTAGCTGATGGATGCTATGGAAAGGCAGGGGGAGGGGGTGGGATAACAAAATATAATAAAGAGTAACATAGAATAAAAATGGGGGGGGGGGGGGGGGGGGGGGGGAGGGGGGGGGGGGGAAGGAATGTAAATTATTAAAAAAAAAAAAAAAAAAAAGGATAGCAACTTACTTCCGGGATCTGGTGAGCCTGTCAGAGATGGTGCCACCGTTCGCCTGAGGCTGCAGACCATCGATTGTCATGGGGATAAAGAAAGCCACGCCTCCATCTCTCTCTGCTGGTTTCAAGCCTTCCTCATAGAGTTGTTGACGTATGCTGCCGATCTGGTCATGACTTAAACTGAGCGCCTGGTGGCTGTACGCTTCTCTCCAACTCTCCATCTCCCCCGTGGGCGACTCGCTCCATGAGACTCTAGCGCTGCCAGGACCCCGACTTGAGTTGGGTCGTTCCGGTGGTGAGTTGCTGTCGATGTCCTCCTTTGTGGCACTGGAGCTCAGTCTGGGCAGCATGAACGATTTGGCGAGCTCTCCACTTCTGCTCGGCAAGACGGATGGTTTGACGATCTCTCCACTTCTGCTAGCCGCTATTGATGTCCTGCTGATGCAGGGAGTTAACATTGACGGCATGCAGCAACGCTCTATTGGTGACATGTACTGGCCGTCGCCGCCCTCACACGTAGCCTCTGTTGCCTTGTGTAGTTTGGTCTCGTTGTAGATGGTTGACGTTAAGCTTACCCGTTCATCTGTGAATGGATCCAGCTGTTCAGCTCCTGCGTCTATCAAAGAGAATAAATGTAGGTGATGATTAATAAGGCTAATTTATATGTTAGAAGTAGAAAACACGAGGTTTCATGAAGGGGTGTTCGAAACGATGTTGTTGTTTTTTAGCAAACAGGTTTTCGGGTTTAGAAATCCGGTTTTAAACCAGATTTGGGCAGTTACAATCAGGGCTTAAGTTATGCAGGAAAGCCCCTCACGATCCACGGGCCGTAGAGAGAGGGAAGGAGGGGCTTTTCGCTCCGGGAGGCTATTTTTTCGGGGGGGGGGAGTGGGGGGATTTGGGGGGGGGGTCGTTTTGATGGGTAAAGTGTAGGTTCAAATAGCTTTTTTTTCTTATTACTTTGAAGTTTTCCTAAACTTGGGAGGGGGGGGGGGAATTATTGGAGATTGCAATCAGCCAATTTGTGTGTTATCCAACAATAGACACTTGCTGAAACGAGGCAACACTTTTCCCCATAAATTTCATGCATTAAAATGCACATTTATTATTTATTTTATTTACTATTGGTTTTGTATTCGTTTATAACCTTTTAAATATTGATTATTTGTCTTATTTTTTAAAATTTTATGATAAAGAATTCGGTAGCCAGTTTCTGAAAATAAGCGAGTTTCAAAACCGAAAACTTGAAATCTGGTTGTCATTTAACATCTTGTTTAACTTCATGGCAGTCCGCTTGATGCCATCTGTCTCTTGATGCCATCTGTCTCTTGATGCCATCTGTCTCTTGATGCCATCTGTCTCTTGATGTTGTCTGTCATTTTATCTCTGTCTCCTGATGCTGTTTGTCTTTTGATGCTGTCTTTTTCTTGATGCTGTCTACCTCTTGATGATGTCTGTCTCTAAATGATGTCTGTCTGTCTCTTGTTACAGTCTGTCTCTTGATGCTATATATCTCTTGATCCAGTCTGTTTCAGATGTCGCCTGTCCCTTGATAATGTGTGTCTCTTGATGTTTGATGCTGTCTGTCTCTTGATGCTGTCTATCTGTATCTTTATGATGTCTGTCTCTTTATGTCTGTCTATTAATGCCTGTATATTGATGTTGTCTGTCTGTCTCTTGATGCTGTCGGTCTCTTGATGATATATGTCTCTAAAAACTGTCTGTCTCTTGATGCTGTCTGTCTCTTAATGATATCTGTTTGTATTTTGATACTGTCTGTCTCTTGATGCTGTATTTCTCTTGATGCAGTTTGCCTCTTGATGTCCTCTGTCTCTTGATGCTGTCTGTCTCTTGACATTCGATCCTGTCTGTCTCTTGAAGCTAACTGTCAGTCTCTTAATGCTGTATTTTTTTTATTTTATTACTTTCTCTTGATGATGTCTGTCTCTTGATAATGTATGTCTGTCGCTTGATGGTTGATGCTGAGTGTCTAGTAATGCTGTCTGTCACTTGATGCAATATGTCCCTTGATGATGTTTGTCTCTTGATATTTGATGCTGTCTGTCTCTTTATGCTGTTTGTCTGTCACTTAATTATGTCTGTCTCTTTATATCTGTTTATTGATTATATCTTTCCCTTGATGCTGTTTGTCTCTTGATGCTGTCTGATTCTTGATACTGTCTGTCTTTTAATGCTGTCTGTCTCTTGATGATGTCGGTCTGTCTGTTTTTTTTTGAGGATGTCTGTCTCTTGATGATATCCGTCTCTTGATGTTCTCTGTCTCTGATGCCGTCTGTGTCTTGGTGCATATTTTTCAAAAAGGCTGCAAAGAAAATGTTCAAATCACAATAATATCTAAAGACTTACCTTTCCTGGCGTCATTCTTGCTAGACATCTGCTCTCCTTCTCCGTGATGAGACTCCGCCTTGACAACTCGGGTGTCCAAAGCCCGTCTAGCTTCTTCCCACTGTCCCGTGCAGACATTGAGCCCACTTCCTGTAGCCGACGCAGGACGAGAATGATTTGAACTGGCCCGTGAATAACCTGACTGGGGTCGGGGCTCGGACGGTTTAGCAGAACTTGGTCTTGAGCTTGGAAGAAATTCTTCTGATTTTGAGACTGATTGCTTAGCTGACGTTGGCCGATTTACTTTTGTGACTGCGCAGTTAATGGGTGGTAGTTTGGTCGGGCCGTTCTGATGGGGTAGAAAGTTGGATAACGGGTAGAGTTCAGAGGCGGAGATCGGTCGCGATTTCAAGACACTGGCATTGCCCAGGGGCGTGTACAACTTTTCAGATGCTGGTCTGCCTCGAATGGCATCGGTTTTCAAGGATGCGTCTAGTCTAAGAAAGCTCTGTTTAGACATCACTTTGTCTTCTTCTTGAAGGCAAACAGATTTTTGTGAGGGGCTTTGTCTCACGTTGGTGAGGCTTGGGCACGGTGTTGGTGTATTCTGATGATGGTGACTGTCACTTAGACTTTTTTCAAGATCTTGATTTCTGTCGCCGCTAGGAGAAGTTGATGGTGGCCTGTCTTGCAGAATCGTGACGATTTCTGGTTCCTGTGGGGTGACCTGGTTGTTGGCCCGGCACGTTCTCCCAGAGGTTGGTCGGGAAAACGGAGTCCCGGCCTGCACATTAGAGCTACACCTTCCCAGTGAGTGATGACTGTCTTTTGAGGCTACTGCTTGAAAGTAGGAATCACTGTTTCGAAGTGAAGTTTTAGATTCACTTAAGTCTACAGTCTGAACCTCAGAAGCGCATCTTTGAAGTGAATGTTTAGAATCACTGGATGCCACAATTTGCACTTCGCAATTACTATTTTTAAGAGAATTTTTAGAAGCGCTTTGGGATAATAATTGTAAATTAGACGTGCATCTTTGAAGCGAATTTTTCGAATGACTTTGGGCAACGGGGAGCAAATTAGAATTATTACTTCGAAGCGAATTTTTAGATACGCTTTGTGAGACAGCTGGTAAATTAGAAGTGCATCGTTGTAGGGACGTTTTAGATTCACTGTGTGTTTCTGCTTGCAGGTTAGAATGGCTAATACTCAGTGAATTCTTAGACTCGCTGGGTGTAGCTGCTTGAAGATTAGAATTGCTATTTCTCAGTGAACTTGTAGACTCGCTGAGTGAGATAACTTGCGGGCTTGTACCTTTCTCCTGCGGTGAGTTTCTGATGGATGTTCGACCAGAGAATGACACCTGGCTTGGCTTCTTATCAGGTATGCTGCTGTTGTTGGAATGGGCGGAGCTTGATCGAGAACTACATTCTGACTTATTCTCTTTGCGGTAAGTATTTTCTTGAGCTACTACTTCTATCACAGCATGTTGTGTTGCCCTTTGCATTTCAAATGCAGTCGGTTTTCCCGTGAAATGGTTTGTTTCATCTTCATCCTCGTCATAGTTTCCGTCGGGCTCGGAAATCTCCTCTACATCAGGTAGTGTACGAATGTGAGCGTCATAGTTGCCGTCAGGCTCGGCAATCTCCTCTACATCAGGAAGTGTAGGAATGTTGGCGTCATAGTTTCCTTCAGGCTCGGCAATCTCCTCTACATCAGGAAGTGTAGGAATGTGAGCGTCATAGTTGCCGTCGGGCTCGGAAATCTCCTCTACCTCAGGTAATGTAGAAATGTGAGCGTCATAGTTGCCGTCGGGCTCGGAAATCTCCTCTACCTCAGGTAATGTAGGAATGTGAGCGTCATAGTTGCCGTCGGGCTCCGCAATCTCCTCTACATCAGGTAATGTAGGAATGTGAGCGTCATAGTTGCCTTCGGACTCGGCAATATCCTCTACCTCAGGTAGTGTAGGCATGTTAGCGCCGATATTTTCTTGGGGCCATAAACTGGTGAAAGCAGACATGGGTAATGTAGAATATCGTCTATGGGTGTCGTGATCTTCGGCTACGTCACATGGCTCAAACGAATCTTCGTTTCTGTCCTCATACACATGTATGTCCTCACTGTCCTCGTGACTAATATCCTCGCTGTTGTTTGCAGATGGCGTGTCATCTTTAAAAAAGTGACCATTTGGCAATTCTTGTCTCGAGCTGTTAGCATTGTCCGGCACATTTATGCAGCAAACCTCCTCTGGCTGAGGGCTGGCGTGATATTTTACAGATTCGAGGTTGGCGATGACGTTTTCAAGAGAAGGTAACTTTAGGGGAAACACCTGATCTGTCTGACAATTACACGTGTGTTCTCTTGACGGTGATGGGGTTATAAAAATCACATGCCCTACCTCTGAACGCTGCTCGCCCGTTTTTTCTGGCGCGGGCTGGTCGTTTGTATTGATTAACACTCCAAGAACGCAAGTCCTTTCAATGTCAGAAGTGCTTAGTGCCTCTTGAGCGTGGTTACTGATGGATTGTTGAATATGAAGTTGCGCTGGCTGATCAACCGCCTTTGGGCTAGGGTTAACAACAGCAAGATCTTCCAATTCATCGTACTCAGGGGATGGGGTGCGAGCATCGCAGCACACATCTTTTTCTTCTTTGTTCACTTCAACCGGCTCTTTGCTAATTTCTGGTATGCACGTTTCAGGGTTGGAAGGGTTTTTAATCGATTTATCATCTGAAGGGCTCTTCTCCTTTTGATGCTTTCTCCGAAAAGACCGCCACGATGAATTACCGTTCTTTTGAAAGAGTGCGGTAATCCTTCTAAACCTGAAATTTTCTGATGACGCTGGAGGATGGTTTCTGTCGGCTAATGGTTTGTGGGGGACATGACTCACCTGCTTAGCATTTCCTTGTGTGATGATGTCATTGTTCTGCTTATTTCCTGTAAGGCTTCTCGCTTTTTTATCCGCTTTTTCTAAAATTTCTTGTGTTTTCGAGCACTCTATCCTGGCTAGTTGGATTGGATGTGGTTCTTCATCGCTATCGTACGGCGCTAGTCCAGATCGCTCAAGCTTACCACCTGCTGCAGGACTGGATCGAGCTAGTTCCGCATCTACGTGACATGATTTTACACTGACGGGCTTGCAAAGATTTGAAACAGGGTCGGCCAAAGAATCTACCTTGTAATCCACATGGGGCTCACAGTTGCCGGGGTCCTCTTCTCTGTTCCTATCTCTGCCGCTGGCAACTTGGTCGTTGGCTTTGATCTTCCCTCGTCTTCTTGTCAACGGCTTCACAACCGCTGACCCCATATCAAAATATTGCTAAGACCACCAGCGACGCAGAGGCCTTTAGCAATCATACGAACTTACTCGGGTAAACCATAGGAATATGAATATCTAATAAAGTGCTATGTTGCTATGAAAAACCGTCAAATACCATACCATTTTCAGCAGTGTAAATCGAATAGCAAAAAGAGTAAGTGTGTTATAAAAATGGCTTGATTTAACAACTCCATAACGGAAAAAATTCGTGTGCGGTTAACATTGAGACTTCCATTTGGAAGTTTTACATTAACGCGGCGGAAGGAAGGTGACGTCACGCCAAGACAATTCGCACACAAGGTTTTTTGTTTGCGTTTGATGGGTTTGAGAGTAGAAGTAGACAATAAATATCAAAGTCAAAGGAGAAATAATCTTTATCGTCTAATTGGTTTGCTTTTTAAAAACAAGCATTCTGATTAAATATATGGAGACGGGATGAACAAGAACTGAAGATATTTCTTAAAATTTAAATCACTTGTCTTTTTAAACATACGAATGTCAACAACTTTATCTTAAGTTATATTTCTTCCCTTTTTTTTTTTTTTTTTTTTTTTTTTTTTTTTTTTTTTTTTTTTTTTTTTTTTATATTTTTTTTTTTTTTTTTTTTTTTTTTTTTTTTTTTTTATTTTTTTTTTTTTTTTTTTTTTTTTTTTTTTTTTTTTTTTTTTTTTTTTTTTTTTTTTTTTTTTTTTTGTATTTTCAGAAAAACAAAATGTGCTCTTATCTCTATTTTTTTGTTATTTGTCAAATAAATTTCATCTTTATTAATTAATATTGAACGATTGCTATGTCCACACAATTATAGCGATAATGGAAAAAATTGAAAAAAGAGTTGATAATTCGAATTAGCTAAAAGTTTGTGTTTTAAAAAGAGAGAAAAACAAGTGCTAGTGACACTTTGGGGGTGGTGTGGTTAGGGGAGAGGGGTTGGGGGAGACTATTGGGAAGGAGCACTTTTATATTATGGCATTGGAACGACCCAGTCCGACGGAAATACAGGTGTTATAGTCTACATATGTTTGTATGCTACCAAAACTTAAGATGCTTTCAGAGCTGTCCCTTTAGGGTGCATGCCTTAAATAGAAATCCCCCTTTTTTTTTTTTTTTTTTTTGCTCTTGACAACGCAATTTTTGTAACATTTAATGAATTAGAACGTATTGCCCGCGATCAAAGTCACCATCGATATTTCGTCTGTCGAAAGTCAACCGTGACCATTCAATACCCCGGGCATTTGCTAGCTGTCCCTTTAGGGTGCATGCCTTAAATAGAAATCCCCCTTTTTTTTTTTTTTTTTTTTTGCTCGTGACAACGCAATTATTGTAACATTTAATGAATTAGAACGTAGTGCCCGCGATCAAAGTCACCATCGATATTTCGTCTGTCGAAAGTCAACCGTGACCATTCAAGACACCGGGCATTTGCCGGGTCTGAATCTGTTTGTGGGTGCGCAGATGGCTAATCATGCCAATTCTATCACAAAAAGGTCCAAGTAAACCGTCCAAGAAAACGATCTAAGTAAACGGTCCAAATAAACGGTCCCAGTAAATGATCCAAGTAAAAGGTTCAAGTAAATGATCCAAGTAATGGGTTCCAGTAAATGATTCAAGTAAACGGTCACAGTAAATTTTAATGATCCAAGTAAACGGTCCCAGTAAATATTAATGAACCAAGTAAACGGTTCCAGTACATGATACAAATAAACGGTCTGAGTAAATGATCCAAGGTACGGTCCAAGTAAATCGTTTCAGTAAAAATTCCAAGTAAACGGTCAAAGTAAACAGTTCCAGTAAATGATCCAAGTAAACGGTCCCAGTAAATGATTCAAGTAAACAGTCCCAGTAAATGATTAAGGTAAACAGTGCCAGAAAATTTTAATGATCCAAGTAAACGGTCCCAGTAAATGATTCAAGTAAACAGTCCCAGTAAATGATTAATGTAAACAGTGCCAGTAAATTTTAATGATCCAATTAAACGGTCCCAGTAAATGATCCAAGTAAACGGTGCCTGTCAATGATCCAAGTAAACGGTCCCAGTAAATGATCCAAGTAAACGGTCTCAGTAAATATTCCAAGTAAACGGTCCCAGTAAATTTTAATGATCCAAGTAAGCGGTTCCAGTAAATGATCCAAGTAAAAGTTCCTAGTAAATGATTTAATTAAACGGTCCCAGTGAATGATCCAAGTAATGGTCCCAGTAAATGATCCAAGTAAATGTTGCAAATAAATGACCCGAGAAAATAATACAAGTAAAAGGTCCAAGCAAATTTTCCAAGTAAATGATACAAGTAAATGGTCCAAGTAAACGGTCCCAGTAATTATGATCCCAGTTAATGGTCCAAGTAAACATTCCAAGTAAATGGTCCAAGTATGCTGTAGTTCTTTCTTCTTTTATTTTCCTTTTATGTCCTCTTCTAGCAGGTACAGATTTCGATTTGCTACAATGTGTGATGCCTGTGAAGTTTCATGTTGTCGTCTGCAAGGGTGTCCTCAACATATGTAGACCCTACCCACTGCTGGTCATTCACTGCATACTGGTCTATTTCCAGTCGTCTTGACTAAATTTCGCCATTGGAACAAACAAGGAAGGATGAGAGAGAGGGGGGGGCTCACAATTTGAGCAAATCTCGCTCACATAAAAGACAAAAATACAGCGCAAGTGAAGGCTACTACTCCAGTAGCAGCCTTGGTCATATGCGCATGCGCAGGACGAACAGTTAAAAAAAAAAAAAAAGAGATCAAACCCGACGTTTACATCCTCCTGCCATGGAACTGACGTGTTAGCTACTTCATGCTTGCAACTCAGGTTGATTGGATTGAAGTGCACACACAAAATATACCTTCCGTATCAATGAAACTCAATAGTTTCACAATTCAGCAGGTTAAGTCACAAAACATTCCATCATTTAAAAATAAATTAAAATCTATCCTGCATGAACGTTAAATTTACATAAAACTACAAGTTAAAAATCTTTATTTAAACTTGTATTTGTTAGAACCAATTCCCCCCTCTACAAAAATGTGTATCGCTGTAGCCATCCTAGTCTGGTCTGCCCTGGTTGCGCCGACACCGGACTGGAGTAGCTTTGTGTGTGTCAATCTGAAACTTAAACTTAGGAAGGCCACATAACGGTGAACAAACAATGCCTCTCGGGGCAACAAACAGTAACGTTTAAATGTAAACAATCAGTAAGACCAATGATTCCTTTTCAAAAGTCTTTATTTCAAAATCTGACTACATTTGTATCCAATATTTCTGATTCGATTTGACTGAAACGAATTCAAAATGGTTATCTCTTGGAATACGCCATGAATCGTATCACTTACTTATTGGTTTGTTACACACGAATAGTGGATCACAGAGTTACCATCAGACATAACGCAACTATTTAGCAGATTACCAGGTTCAGTGTTATTCCATTAGAGATACCAACTGTGCGGTGTTATTTGAGCGTAAAGTTGAATATTTAATACCAGTGTAGAGAGGAATGATTTATTGGAGTGTAAAGATAAGTTTCACGTTTTTAGTGTAAAGATGCATATTTATTTAATTGTAAAGATGACTGGTGTATTTGAGTGTAGACATGAAGACAACAACAATCTGGCCACATTTCATCTTCTCTCCGTACTTTACAGCCCATGTCACTTCATCTTCTCTCTGTACTTTACAGCCCATGTCACTTCATCTTCTCTCTGTACTTTACAGCCCATGTCACTTCATCTTCTCTCTGTACTTTACAGCCCATGTCACTTCATCTTCTCTCTGTACTTAACAGCCCATGTCACTTCATCTTCTCTCTGTACTTAACAGCCTATGTCATTTCATCTTCTCTCTGTACTTTACAGCCCATGTCACTTCATCTTCTCTCTGTACTTAACAGCCCATGTCACTTCATCTTCTCTCTGTACTTAACAGCCTATGTCATTTCATCTTCTCTCTGTACTTAACAGCCCATGTCACTTCATCTACTCTCTGTACTTAACAGCCCATGTCACTTCATCTTCTCTCTGTACATTACAGCCCATGTCACTTCATCTTCTCTCTGTACTTAACAGCCCATGTCACTTCATCTTCTTTCTGTACTTTACAGCCCATGTCACTTCATCTTCTCTCTGTACTTAACAGCCCATGTCACTTCATCTTCTCTCTGTATTTAACAGCCTATGTCATTGCATCTTCTCTCTGTACTCCACAGTCAATGACTTGAAGTGAAACGTTGTAGGGTGTAGGGTGCCATCTTGGTTTGTGAGATGTCATATTAGCTTGTAGGATGTCATCTTAATTTGTAGGATGTCATCATAGTTTGTAGGATGTCATCTTAGCTTGTAGAATGTCATCTTAGTTTTTCATCAACAATTTCCTTCAGCCGAATCTCCTAATCTCCAAATTCATTTCAGTTTTTTTTTTTCATTCCAATAACAGCACTCAACTTTCTCTTTAACTAACTTACTTTAAATTGTTGTTGGAATACAGGCATTTCCTTTTATTGGATTATAAAGAACGCAGCAAAATCCTTTATTTTGTCGGATCTTAAAACAAATGTAACTTATCTGACTGGCTGACAACTGTACCATATCTAAATGACAAACCACTGTACCCTATCTGACTTGCTAAGCCTACCAGACTTATATTAGTCAACTTCTTCTGTTTCCTGCATGGTCCGATTCGACCAATCTTGGGACCAGAGCTAAACCATGCCTGATTTGAATAGACTAGATACTATTCAGACATCCCAATCAAGCGATACGTCTAAAAATGGCTGGTTTGAATAGACTATTATCTATAAAGAAAACCCAATGAATTCATGCGTCAATAAAATGTCTGATTTGAACAGACTAGATTCTAGTCAGACAACCCAGTGAAGAATATGTCAATAAAATGTCTGGTTTGAATAGAGTTGACTCTAGTCGTCAGACCACCCAACGTTGTGATACGTTTGATTTGAATAGATGACTTTCTAGTCAGACAACCCAGTGAAGTGATAGACGAATAGAGTGTCTGATTTGAATAGACTAGATTCTAGTCAAACAACCCAATGAAGTTGTACGTGGATGCTAATGGATCTTGTAGATCTCTTCCATTGTTCGGGTCTGTTTGTGGACACTGCCCTGCTTCATCGGGTAATGGCTGTACGTTAATGGAACAAGAGTAGGCGCCTTCATTCAGTATATCTTCATTGTCACCACTCTGGACATTCTAGTCATCACGCTAGTCATTCTAGTCATCACGCTAGTCATTCTAGTCATCACGCTAGTCATTCTAGGCCCAGGATGACATCTAGCACGTCACGCTTGT